AAGAAACAAATTTTCTGCGACCGTGTAAGTCATTATTAATATAGGCATAGTTTTGAACAGGAGTAATGAAAAATTATCAATTCTCTGTCTTCGACTTGCCAAGATCACTACAAAATGAAGATAAAATATTTAACTGGGAAAACTAATATCAATAAATTTGTATACTTAAAAATATGAATTAAAAGTTGTTAGACAAATTGGTAGTGCATGAAAAATATAACAATTAAATTTCTGCGACCGTGTAAGTCATTATTAATATAGGCTTAATTTTGAACAGAGATCATTTATAATCATAATTCTGTCTTCGACAAGCCAATTATAAAGGTTAACTATTAAATATCTTATTTCATAAGAACCAATAAGTAAAATTGATATTGTAGATAATGTAGTAATAGGAATTATTATAATATTGTTTAAACAAATTAAAATGTAAGTAAACGTAAATGACTATTTTTATACTATAGAAATCAATAAGTTTTGAACAGATATTATGAATAAAAAACATAAAGTCTTCTTTTCTTTTGTCATACAAGGAATCTAAGTACATAAATAATTAGATAATTTACTAGGTTACTATTGACATTCCGTATTTACTGTAGTCTACAACTTTTTAAGAATAAGTACTTTGACAAACAAATGTAATACAATATACCAAAACAATTAAAAAAAAAAAAAACTACCAATTTTAAGTTTTATACAAATGGCATTAATATCTCAAATTTGTTTTTAATTTGATATTTTCTTGAAAACTAGATAGGTATTTAAACATAGAACAATTATTTTTTAAAACTCCTTCCTACCACAAGTCTAAAGATAATAACGAAAATGTGACTTTCTAAATTCTTAATACATAAGACATATTATATATAACTGCTTTGGAAAACAATCAATAATGACACTTACATTTGATATTTTTATTTCTTAATACAACCAGTTACACATCAGAACAATAAGTGTAATATACTAACAACAAAAGCAATAGAAATTACTAATTTGAAAGGTCTTTCATTGGAAGAACTGCGACATGAATTTATGAATTAGATGTGCCAGTCATTTAATATTATTATTATAATAATATATCAGAAGCAATGACTGATGTAATATCCTTGACACAATCAACATTATTTTTACCTTTCATAAATGCAACTTCGATGCAATTGGCGCACATGGTATGTCCGCACACGTTGAAGCTGAACACGAGGTTGGGGTTTCGGAACTTGGAGCTCATGCACCGAACGCACGCGAGCTCCTCCATGATTAGAAATTCGGTTTTTAATTCATAAACGAATAAAATCCCAGCCACCGCATGCGGTCTAACGTTCTTAAAGTTTAAGGGTACAGAGGTAACGATGCAGCATTCTTCTGGTTCCACAAGCGAGAAACGAAAAAAAAAATTAAAACACAGTAACAATATTTTAATCGACTTACTGGATTACAATTTATTATTAATAGTTAACAATGAATCATTTATAAATCTAAATAATAAAATTGTTGACGTGCGGTCCCTTGGAATAAGAACAGCGACGAGGACGTCTTATTCCAACATACCACGGACCCACCATCCGCAACGTGAGTATCCGAGATAATAACCACATGCAGCATTGATAACCGGTCGTTACGTTCATGGAAACAAGAACAGATCGAAGAGTGAAACATGGAAAAAACAGAATAATAACAAAACATTTTGTACATATCATGGATAAAAGACCAGATTTACAACGGCATCTGACGGAAAATGCCGACATTCGAATATTACCAGTATAAATGTAGAGCGAATCCATAGTATGAAAAATAAAATTAATAGGTTTACGTTGTTTATTTCGACCTTATTGCTAATTTTACAACTAGGTAGAGAAGTATTTTACAGTCTTAAATTGTTTTGTTAATTCGGACATACGGTATTGTTTAGTTATAAACATTATTTTTTATGAAGACTAAATACCTAGCGGTGACTTTTTAATACCTACTTAAATTATTAGTTTATGACTGTCGCAAGTACCTACCTATTGTAGGTAGGTACATACTAATTAATGTAAGTGCTCATTTATAATTACTGCAGTAATGTATTTATTATTTATTTATATGACTATTTGTTCCTAGAGACTATAAGCTATTAGACATAAGTTCAAGTTATAAGTACAATAAAATTATGTGAAATAATTATTGTGAGTAACTTGCTCTCAAGTTTCAAGTTTCGATGTGTTGTACTTACCTGTATTGTATTTACTTGTATCAAACTTTTAAGTATTGTAAATAATATGTTTACGTTTATACCTGCCTAAATCTAATTAGGCAAATATTTTTAATTTATGGAAAATAATTTTGCATAACGATGATATAGGTACCAAAATAAATTTTTAGGCCTTGAAGTATTTTATGCAACAGTTTTAATATATTATTATATATTATGTATATAATATATTTTTTCAATTGGGTTGACAAAAATATTAATTCAAAAAAAATAAAATTCAGAGACCATTTTAATGTTTACATATAATATAGATCAGGTCACTAATCAATGTTTTTAAGGGCCACACAAGAAATCTGAAAATAATTCGTGAGTCATTACAATTCTAAATATCATATAATAGGTTTTATTTTAAAATTGGATGTAATGAATGAGAATATTATTAATAACAACAATAACACATATCTATAATGTTTTACGTTATTGTAATACATATTATTTATTCCTTATCTGCGGGTCGAATAAAATTTATTCGTGGGCCATCATTTGGTGAACCTTGATATTATAAACCATTGAGTAAAAAAAAAATTAACTGTTATTTAGCTCTAAGTAACAGTTGTGCTATAACTATTTAGTGGAAGCCTGCGATTGAAAACGAATTAAAAAAAAAAAAATGAAAAATGTTCATAAGGATATGCAGGTTACATATTTCTAAATATTAATTACAATTAGAAAATAAATTATTTTAAGGATTTATTCAACATTATTTAAAAAAGGTAGGCAAATGGGTACCGCTCTACTGCACAGTAGGTGTCCATTAGGGTGTGTTAAATTTGAATCCAATGATACATTATTGTACGCGAAAAAAGATTCTGAGCGGGATAGTCTGTAAGCTTATATAGTAGATTGTATAATCTTCAAATGTCTATAAAAATAAGTTGTGAATAAGTTATATTCATTTTTTTGTTTTGTTTTTTTTTTTTTTTTTGTTTCATTATACGTTGTTTACATTCTATTATCTATGCTGACATGCTTTTAAGGTGGTGGAAGAAATTCCGATTCCCAGCCGCGTTTAGCCACTGTTATAATATTTATAAGTGGCAGCGCATGACCGATAGATAATAAAATTGAACGGAAAAAAATACGATCATGGAAACTAACTAAAAGGCCCTTGAAAGTGATTTGATTGTAATAAAACTATTAATTGATTTATAAAGAGAATATGTTTTCAGAGCGAAGCTCATTAGTGTTTTTCATTAATTAAAATGAATAGTTTTATACGAATATGATAAATATAATTAAGTATTATTTTGCTTTTTTTAAACTATTGTAACTTTTTTTTTAATGTTAATTTTTTAAACGCGTATGAGGTTTACTCAATTGTATAATTAGTGTTCTCTCCCTAAAACAATATTAAAAGTAATTATTTTTCGTTGGTTTTCCGTAAAGATGGTTTTACTACCTAGTGATAATAACTTATTAATGTAACGTCCCCTTAATATATATATATATTAATAAATACACTGTAATATCTTTATTATTTATGCCCTATAGAAAATAGGAATATTAATTATTAATGCTTTTTCTCGCTACTAAAAAATCACTTATAAAAAAATAGCAAATAATTTATAATATAATAATTTATAGTGAATATATTGAATGATAATTAAAAAATACATTTTTTGTCTTGTCTTCGCCTTTTAAATTCTAGAAAGTAATATTGTCTAATAATGCTTAGAATTTTAACTTAAGTATTATATTTTCTAGTAGGAAATTAAATTTAGTTGGTAGGTACTTTGGAGGAATCAAAAGTAAACAATTCCCAGTAATTTTATTAATAATTAAAAAAAACAAAGTAGGGAAAACAGGAATTTCTACACAAAACCATTTTTTGAAAAAATTGGTTTTCTTATTTTATTGTAATTTAAAAACAAACAACCGTGGTTACTTGACGTTGTTAATATTTTATGAATTGATTTTAAAATGTTCATACCTTAAAGCTTCAAATAAGCATTCACGGATTGGATTTTAAATTTTTATTAATATGTTTTTGAATATTTCTGTTTACTTAAATTGCTTTGAAAATATGAACATTTATTTAACTCGCGTAATTAAATCGACATTTCAAGAATAAGGAATAACTTACACAAGATTAAAATGTTTTGTGTATTTATAATACCTAGAATTATTTTTGTGTTTTATTAATATATTAATTTTTTTGTTTATCAGGCTGAATGACTGAGTAGGCCGGTAGTAATTAATAAGTTAAGTGTTCTATATAAGTAATACATATATACATTCACACACACACACACACACACACACACACACACACACACACACACACACATATATATATGTGGTTATATTGAAAACTTAAGTTTTAACTCGAATGATAACAATTAGTAATGGAAAATTCTATTTTATGTATACATTTAATGACTTCAAAATTTCACATAACCTAGGTAAGGTATTTGGGTAAGCTACAAACGAAATAAAACGTAGAATATAATGTTTGGTAACTATATTATATGTAATTTTAAGATATTCATTGTATAGAACTAATTAAGACTCAAGATTTTTTTGTAACCTGATAAAATTACTTCAATTACTTGACTAAAATATCTATTTTTACGGTGATTTCCGATAACATTTTAAAACTGTTCTACAAAGTTTCACGGTACCTATACATTTGAATATTATAATATAAGTAATGCAAACTCAGCAGTTTTCATTATTAAGACTTGATCACCGGAACGATTCGATATTCTTGTTGTAATTTAATATCATTACACATCATGTTATAAAATAGGATTTTAAGTCTGTGCGTGTATCATTACTGCAGTGCTTGTACAATGTTGGTATGCGTGCATAAAGTAACTACCTACCAATTTAAATACTAAGTGTAAATACAAAATAATATTTCCAGTTGTCACCTTAGTATTATTTAACGAAAGAATCTATTTAATTCAAATGGATAATTAAATTTTACTGCATATAATATAGGTAAGTGGTACAAATCATAATAGGTGCTTATTTATATATATATACTATATATACATATTTATTATATATCAGAATCATATTGAATGCAAACTTATGATGTGATTTAGTTACACAGTATGAACTTGTTCCCTTACTGAATGTTATGTTCTATCTATCCATAAACTAATTAGGAACAGTGTCTTAATAATATGATAGGTATCCGTATATCAACTGTATATTCTGTAAGTATATTCCGCTTTCAAATAGATAGATTTCAACCTTGTAGTACTATAGTAGATACTAATCTTATAATGCTTTATATATTCAGACTTCAAAGTAAAAATTGACTGTAAAATAGACCTCTTAATTTAATTTATATGTATTATATTATTATTTGTACCTATGCATTGTTCATTTGTGTATCAATATGATTTAAATTTAACTTAATTTATCACATTGTTTTTATTTTTTAAAATTTCATTCATAGTTTATGTTTATAACACCGTGTAATAGGTATAACAACATTGACAAAAAAAAAAATCTTTGAAAATAAAACACAGTTGTTTAATGTTTATAGTTTGTAAAATTTTTTGATTACATTTTTAATTTAAAATTTATGAAATTCATTAAGTACATATTATTTTATGAATTTTTCAATATTAAAATATTAAAATAATCTAATAATGTAGATTGTAGGTAATTTATACTGATCTTAAAATTTAACTAAACGAATGTATTGAAATTATTAAAAAACATTGACCATAATTAATGAATTTAAGGTTTTTGTATTGATTTTAAAATCAATTCTAAAAAAATTATCATTCTTAAATTAATAATATATATCTAGTTAATAGCCATATAGATTATTTATCAGGTGTTTTTTTTTTATTAATTTTAGGTCATAATATTATACTGATTTTTTTTAATTTTGGTATTGAATAATTCAATAGATGTACATTATTGATTATACTATGTCTTGTTTTATTGAAATATATTTTAAATTATAGATATAATTCTTATGAACTTTAATCGTTGGTTAATCATAGTTTTTTGTCCTGTAATATTGAATAATAATTATCTATTAATATAAATATACTTTGTACGAACAATATCCTAATGAGTTTATTTGAATTCTTAGCCTTAAAATAATATGATATTGATGTACCTACTGCACAGAGTGAAAGTGTCAAACATTAATCTTGTACTTAATTTATGTGCTTAAAATGATATGTGCGTATAGCCGTAACACAAAGGCAATAGCTTTCAAACTATTGTATTGTAAGCTCTAGTGAATAATACATAGTACCTACTTATTTGTATATAGACGTACAAGTATAGTATACATAGATAGTAGGTACATTGTATATCTATCTACGTTTTGGAAAATATACCTGTTAATTTATTGCTGTTATATA